TTCCTTCACCCTGTCTTTAAAAATTTTGTCCTGAAAGCCAAGGGGCGTTTGGGTCTTTCAAACATTAGATACCTGGACTCCTTGCTTGGCACCCTGCAATAAACACTGTCCTTTCCTTCACCACAACACATTATCAGTAGATTGGCTTTATTACATGTGGGCAAGTGGACCCAAGCTTGTTTGGTAACATGATTGGAGGAGGCATCACCATATGGTGTGGTGGAAATCTAAAACCTCCATCAGACTGGCATAGAGGAAGGACAGTCTATCCCATGCATGACCAACCTTGTCTGCATATTACAGCTACACAGGAAGGTTTCCAAAATCCTGATGCCTAAGCAAAAATCCACCCCTGCCTCCAAAAATGATGATAACTAAATGCAAAAAAGCATCCTGGCACCAATATTCATTTTGAAACTCCCCAGGTGATTCTAACTGTGCACCCAAGGTTAAGATCTATTGATCTGTACCAAACTTCCTCTCTACCTTGCTCCCTAGAAGACAGTCTTAAATGATTCCATGGAATTGGAAGTCCCTAACAAATTAGAAACTGTTGGAGTAATTCAATGGTTTTCATAATTTTGTTTTCACTATTAAAGATTATGGAAGAGTTTTTTTATGTCTCTTGATGTTTACATGATCAGAACTTAAAACAGATATTTTAAAGTATTAATTTCAAAATGAAAGCAAAAAATCCATTACACATTAATAAACATAATTTTGTAAAAATTTGTATTTTACTAAATGAAAAATATTAGTGAAGGATGAAGCAATGTTTTGAACTTTTGCAAGTGTGTAGTTTAACTGAAGGCAGCTTGTTTTCCAATCACTTCTGCATTTACTCTGTTGCAATAACACACAAATGGAAAACTTCACAGTTGTGAGAGAGGGAGGGTGAAAATGTGGAAAACATCTTGGTTTTATTTTAAAAATACTTTTAATCTCATGCACCTCCACAAAGGGTTTTGATGAGCCCCAAGGGGTCTTTGGAGACCCCAACAGTTCTCTCAACACCGTGAGGACTGCTAGCATAATGAAAGTAACCTCCTTGGTTCAGATGAACATGAAAATAGTAAACCATCATCCTATTATCCCCCAAAAGGTTCACAATAGGGAACTACTTGGGTGGTCAAAAGAAATACTGTCTATTACCATTTGCTTGGTTACTTGTTGGGGCTTCCCAGATAGCTCAGCTGGTAAAGAATCCACCTGTAGTGCATGAGACCCTGGTTCGATTCCTGGGTCAGAAAATACCCTTGGAGAAGGGACAGGCTACCCACTCCAGTGTTCCTGGGCTTCCCAGGTGGCTCAGCTGGTAAAGAATCCGCCTGCAACGTGGGAGACCTGGGTTCTATCCCAGGGTTGGGAAGATCCCCTGGAGGAGGGAATGGCTGCCCTCTCCAGTATTCTGGCCTAGAGCATTCCATGGACTGTATAGTCCATGGGGTCGCAAAGAGTTGGACAGAACTGAGTGACTTTCACTTTCAGGTGACTTGTTAGAATAAAGTATGGTGCTATGTCAAAGAGTGACCTAATTGAACTAGAAAAGTCCACTATTGCAAATAACTATCTGAAAAATACATTTCCCACATCCAGTGATTTTTGTATCCTTCAAAGTTCCAGTCTTTGCACTTGAAAATTGTGCAGTCTAGTTGGTGAGACAAGACATATATGAATAAAAATTTACAGAGAAGTGTTTTGTGAAGTGAAAATTTTACATACAATAACTCAGATGAGTAAAAGCATATGTATAACTTTTAAAAACTTGTGTGAATGCTCCCATTTTGCTATTTTTCCACTAAAGGTGTTACCATCCTGGGTAGATAATTAACGTTTCAAAATGATAGGATGTAAGGAAAGGACATTGTTGTAGTAAGTAGTTATTTTGGCTACAGACAGCTTTTTATATAAACAGTTCATATTTGTTCCTAACAAATTTAACTTGTTATTGCTGCTCTTGTAGTTGTTATTTGCCCCTTTTTATAAAAAAGCAAATGACTTTCAAATTGAAATTAATATTCCATTTCACTTATTTCCTCTGACCTTAAAAAAAGAGTCTTTGTGGTTGGCTTGTACTTTCTTTGTGTTTTGTTATCTTACCTGTACATTGCATATCCTACATTACATGTACAACAGGAAAGCATATACATTCAATTTTGTTCTTTCCATTTGTGACCACTATTAACACATATTATGGCTATTTTTAATTCTAATTCTGTTTGCCAAGATACTGGCTATTTATTTTACCTGATGTCACAGGCAGACTTAACAAGCGTACCTGATAGTCCATCATCCTGGTCATTGAAAAAATGTTAAATAGCACTGAACTGGAAACTGACCCCTGCACAACACTTCTTGTTATATTTCCCCCTTAACTCATCCCCCAAATGATACTTATAATCTGCATCTTTATATGTGTTCCAGGTAAGGTTGGCTAGTAGTCCTTTGGTAGGTAATATATTTCTAATAATTAAGAAATATTCTAATTGGAAATCTGTGTAGATATCAGTAGAACTCTTAGGGAACTGAATGTTCCTCTTAAAATAGAGGGTTATGCATATGCATCAGTAGGCTGAAATTGGCCCTTATAGGTATAATATGAAGTCATGAAGCAAGGGAAAACAGTTGCTGCACGGAAATGTCCATTACCTTGCTTCAACCTAGACTAAGGTATCCATGTAACCCATGGGAAATTAGAAAGAAAAATAGCGTTTTATAAATCATTAAGTTTTCACTGTAGCTATCCTGTTGGTAAGTTATGTCTAAATAACTGTCTTTACTTCTATTTGTGATTGGAACATCATAGTTAGTGAAGCCTACATTGTTTCTTTCATCACGTCTACCTCTAATATCACCCCATCCAAATGTACACAGTATAAAATGTGGACACACACACATACACTATTATTAATAATAAAGCAATATAGAGGTATTTCTGATTGTGTTGGTTCTTATACCTTTCTCTAAAAATACTTTTTTAGTTTTTTCCTTCATGAAGCAAGCATTACTAGAATTTCATAATATTCTCATATTAATGCCACTTCCCAGACAGGCCATGGAAAGAAGATGACAGAGAAAAATGGAAGTTTCTTAATACTGCACTAGGAAGGTCAAGTTTAATATAGTTTGATACTGTTGCTGGAAAAAGACAAACAACTAATAAAGATTTATTAGATGCCTAATATGTATTTAAAAGAAAGGTAGTTGATTCTGAATATGATAAAATAAGATAGCTCTCCTCAAAGAGCTCATCGAGGACTAATCACTTAGTTATGACAATAAGACTAAAATGGATCATGTTGACAAAACAGCATAAGACTGATCAACTGTACTGTGCAGAATATATATTATAGGATTTTAAAGATGACTAGATAGTCTGGTTTGATAGTAAAATGAAGCTTTTATGTAAGAGGCATCACTTGAAAAAGGATTTGAAGGATAAGTAATAAGTAGGTAGGTAGAGTTAGGGCATCTGGTCCCATAACTTCATGGCAAATAGAGGGGAAAATATGGAAACAGTGACAGACTTTGTTTTTTGGGGCTCCAAAATCACTGCAGATGGTGACTGCAGCCATGAAATTAAAAGATGATTGCTTCTTGGAAGAAAACCTATCTACAAACCTAGATTATTAAAAAGCAGAGACATTACTTTGCCAACAAAGGTCCATATAGTCAAAGCTATGGTTTTTCCAGTAGTCATGTATGGATGTGAGAGTTGGACCATAAAAAAGGTTGAGCTTTGAAGAATTGATGTTTTGAACTATGGTGTTGGAGAAGTCTCTTGAGAGTCCCTTGGATTGCAAGGAGATCAAACTAGTCAATCCTAAAGGAAATCAATCCTTAATATTCATTGGAAGGACTGATGCTGAACCTGAAGCTACAATACTTTGGCCACCTGCAGCAAAGAGATGACTCATTAGAAAAGACCCCGATGCTGGGAAAGATTGAAGCCAGGAAGAGAAGGGGACAACAGAGGATGAGATGGTTGGATGGCATCACCGACTCATTGGATATGACTTTCAGCAAGCTCCAGGTGATGGTGAAGAACAGGGAAGCCTGGCGTGCTACATGGGGTCAGAAAGAGTCAGACATGACTGAAGCAACTTAGCAGCAGCAGATAGGTAGACAGCAAGGTTGAGATGATTCCAGGTGGTAGAAAAGAAGTTTTAAAAGCAGCAAGAGGGACTTCCCTGGTGGTACAGTGGATAAGAGTCTGCCTGCCAATGCAGGGGACATGGGTTTGATCCCTGATGTGGGAAGATTCCACATGCTATCGAGCAACTAAATCCATGCACTACAAGTACTGAAGCCCTAGCACCCTAGACCCAGGCTCCACAGCAAGAGGCACCATCACAGTGAGTAGCCCATGCACTGCAGCTAGAGTGTAGCCCTAGCCACAGCTAGCCATAACTAGAGAAAGCCCGTACACAGCTACAAAGACCCAGATATATATTTTGCAACCAAAATATATATATATAAATACAATAAAAAATATTTTTAATAAAAGCAGGGAGGTGGTAATAAGACATGTAAATAACCCTGACACATTTTCTATGGGTTTACGTTTCTTACTAATATTGGTGAATCTGTGTTACGTTACAGAAGTCTGATAGTGAAGGACAGGGAAGCCTGGCGTGCTGCAGTCCAGGGATCACGAAGAGTCTGATATCACTTAGCGACTCAACAACAGCAACAGAATTCTGAAAGTGGTAGTTTTTAGCGATGCCTGCTCAGACCATAAGCTAGAACTAAGGAAGTACCTTAGTTCGCTCTTCTGTGGAACGTATCATCCATAAACTTAGCAACTTAGAACAGCAAAGAGTTATTACCTCACAGTCTCAGTGGTACTCAGGAGCAGTTTAAAGAATAAGTGGTTCGGGTTCTGGGTTCTTGGGAGACAGCACTGAAGTCATATCTGAAGACCAGCCAAAGGAGGATCTGCTTCCACTCCTCGCTGTTGGCGAGCCTTGGAAGATCATCTTCTGGAGGGTAAGAACAAATTAGCCAAGATGGCGGTAGTCAGGCTCTTTCATCCCACGGCCTTTCTCGTCGCCCCACATTTTGTAAATAATGATTCTGTAACAGCGGAGATCATTTACAGCACTGCGCACGATCATCACGATGTGCTCGCTTGGCCCCAGGCCACTTTTCTTCCGTTTGTCTATATTAGCTCCACCTGAGAACCCCCAGCCGCACGAGCTAGGAGATAATAAACATGTCTGCGGTTTCTACAGCTCCTCACATCTTCTTCCATCTTCCCTGCTCACTCCTTGCCTACCCTGGGTTCAGCAAACAGTGTGAACGGCGAGACACCTTCCAAACTCACCTATATGGGTTTCTCCACAGGACTCCCTCTAGAAAGGCAGCTGGCTTCCCTTAGAGTGAGTGAATCAAGACCCAGTGAGAGCTTCCAAGGTGGAGTCAGGTCTTTTTATAACCTAAGGTCAGAAATTAAAATCCATGAGACAGGATAAATTGCAGGCCATCTTGGAGACTGCTTATCACAGAAGGCGAGGTTGATATTAGGTGGAGAGAGAGGAAATTTACTCTCTCTCTTGGCTTCATGCTCTTGTAGATAGAAGTCATAGAATTTTGAGGTCTTTAAGAATCCTGCCTTATTTTCAGATACTACTTACATTACAGAGAGGGAGATGGGAATTAGGAAAGAATAAAAATTAGGATATTAAAGCTTACAAAACATAGTTTAATCCCTCGTTCTTCATGTGATATTATTTCCCTTTGTAATTGTTTAGTCTAAGGACATGAAAGAGATGCTGTTCCCTTCATCGTGTGTCCTGAGGCAGTGGTGCCCACTGTTACTCAATGGTAATTTTCTTTCATTGAGCCCAGAGAGTGACCTCAGGATCACTGTGTCTCTGTGAGACACACTGGTACTGTGTCTCAGATGTTTACAATCAACTGGTCAGACATAAAAAATAACTATTTTTTTCCAGTCCTAGCCTTTACAGGAGAAATAGTCCAGCTTTCATTCATATATGTACATTTGATTTATATAAAAAAAATTCTCTCCAGAGTAGCAAGGAAAAAGTCACTTTTTAAATAAATGGTCTTGGGTCTATTGGATATTCATTTAGAAAAAAATTCATTCACCAGATGCCATATACAATTCTAGGTACATGATAGATCTAAATATGAAAGGCAAGCCCATAAAGAAAAGTATTTGTAAAATAGACTATATTAAAGGTAAAATTTCATGTATCATAAAAAGGCAAGCTATGGGTGCAAATATATATGCCATTGGTAAAAATATATGCAACACATATAAATGGTGAAGAATTTATATCCAAAATAGATTAAACACACTTTAAGATCAGTAGAAAAATGGGAGACAACTCAATAGAGATAGGGGCAGAAATTTGAAAAGGAATCTCACAGAAGATGATATCTTGGTGGATAGTAAACCCACTATAGATGGTTCTATATCTACTGGAATAGCTGAAATGAAAGACTGAAGTTATCTTGTATTGGCAGAGATGTAGGTAATGTCAGTATCATTCACATTCCATATAATGTGAATGTTAGTACAACCAATGTGAATGTTAGTACAACAATCTTTAATGTTGGATAACAAATTAGGTAATCACATACTATATAACTGGGAATTTAATTCCTATACACACAGACTAGATAAGTGGTGATATAATTATGAAATACTATACAATAATGAAAATGGAAGAGAAAACCAAAATTACAAGCAAAAATTTGAATTAATCTCACAAATGTAAAGCTGAGCCAAAGAAGCCAGATGTGAAAGGATATATATTTACATGTTCATAATGGCAACCCACTCCAGTGTTCTTGCCTGGAGAATCCCAGGGACGGGGAATCCTGGTGGGCTGCCGTCTATGGGGTCTCACAGAGTCGGACACGACTGAAGCAATTTAGCAGCAGCAGCAGCAGCATACCATATATACGGAGCTTCCCCAGTGGATCATGGGTAAAATAACCTGTCTGCAATGCAGTAGATGTGGGTTTAATCCCTGAGTGCAGAAGATCCCTGGAGGAGGGCACGGCAACCAACTTCAGTATTCTTGCCTGGGCAATCCCATGAACAGAGGAGCTTAGCAGGCTACAGTCCATAAGGTGGTAGAGTCAGACATCACCAAAGTGACTTAGCACACACACATACACACACACGTCATATGTATATATATATAAAATGACATATATATATAATGACTCCATTTATATAATTTAACACACACAAAAAACAATCCATGGTGTTAGAGGTCAGGAGGTCAAGATAGTGATTGATTGATTTGGAAGAAGAAAGAGGAAATAGATATTGGTACGAGGAGTATGAGGGACCCAAACAGGAATTCCAGTACACTGGTAATCTGTTTCTTGACCTGCAGGGTAGTCACCTGAGTGTGTTCATTTCATGATAATTTATTTTCTATGACTTTTGTACTTCTCTGTATGTAACTTACATGACACTAAAAACATGTAAATAACAGATGAAGATCTATCTCAGTGGAATCAGAGGATATTAAGGAAAAGATTCTATGCTAGTTTAGAAAATCAGCCATGAAAAAGATCCATCAACCATGAAATCAGTATGACCCTGAATTACATAGTAACAAGGAATCTAAGAGAGTTGAGTACAGAGTTTAAGAGATAAGTGTCACTTGAAACATATATATGAGATGTGTTTAGCATTGCAGCATCTCCCTGTAGTTTATTTGATTCAGGTGAAGAATATTCTTATAATATATCCCAACTATAAAAATTTTCAAGTTAGTTAGATTCAAGTTATACTTTCATGCATTAATATTTATCCTTCCTGACTTCTTGATGTGTGAGTTTGGACTTCACAGAGTTTGGTCTAGATTTGAGAATAGGAAAGAATATTAACTCAGAAGGGATGAAGATAACATTTCTTATTGTTTATTATCAAATCAAAGAGCAAGCCTGCCAAGGGCATATTCATGATTAAGGATGCATAGAGTTGTGAGCAGACTCAGATCCCCAGGGCATTTGTTGCTTGTAAATGTAGACCTGAAGTTAGTGGTCATAGTAGCCACACAGAAGAGGGAATCACCAGGTGGGAGCATTATGTATGAGCTCACTGTCTTTGTATATCATCTTAGACTAGAAAAGGAAGGGAAAGGGGAATGTCAGCTCTCAGGGGTCCACTCTTACTGTAAACAAAATATCTTGCACTGACTATGCTTGCTTATTTTCATCCTAGGGTATCAGGGGTGGGGGCAGTTTATGCCTTCCTGTTTTTAAGCCTATTCTAAATTTCTGCTACCTGTCCTAATGGGTTACTTTCATTTTCTCATTCCTTTATCTCTTCATTCTTAAAAAATATTTGTAAATCCCAGTCATGTATCAGAAACTACAATAACCCCAGCAATTTAAAGTTGAGTGGTACTTAGTCCCTGCTGTCTAGAAACCTTTAATACGTACTGTCATATTCCAAAATATTTACTGAAAGAATCCAAAAATGTAAAGTGAGTATTCATCTTTTAGTTTCATGTGGCTTTGAATTTTTTCCTTCAAGTTTACAAGGAAAGTAACTTGAAAAAACAAAGAGCGTATTAACATGTTAAATTGCTCTCAGTAAAGATCTGAGGAATTTTTAGAAATGATGTCCTTTCTATTGGATAAATAATTTTCTAACTTCCTTCTTGGGTTCAAAGACCAATGTCCCCATAACTGTAACAACATGTGATATTAATATAGTTGCCCTTTTATTCCCTAAAGGAATTAACACATGAAAAAAAAAAAGGTTGTTTTTTCCATTTCAATTAATTCTAAGTCGAGTAAGCAGACTTAATTGTATGCACGAAGAAAGCAACGTTAAAACCCTAAAATTGTGAATCTACGAGTAGAAAGGATACTAAGAGATAATCTTTCCTTTTGACCCCAGGGACAAAAGGGGTCATTTGATGACAATGAACAGCTAGTGTCAAAGAAGAAGCTACACAGCTTTGACATTTATATCCATACTAAAACAGCATGCATCTCTATAAAATCCATTTTAAATGACAATTTTCAGTGTAATGATCAAGAATTTCCTTGATCAAAAGTTTAATAAACTTTTCCATAAGTAAATGTACCTTGAACATTTCTTGAAGCAAGGTCCCTAGGTATCAGTTGCAATCAAAACTAGTAATGGAGTGGGCATCTCCTTTGTTGCTTCATCGGTGCAGTGTGATGTTCTCTCATTCTATGAGAATCAGGCTTCTGGATGCTGAGATCCAGTTACAGAAGTAGGCACTTTATTATCTGCTTTGGCATCTGGCCAGTTTTGAGTTTTATTTAACCAACATTTTGGAGAACTAGGAAATGGCAACCCACTCCAGTATTCTTGCCTGGAGAATTCCATGGACAGGGGAGCCTAGTGGGCTACAGTTCATGGGATCACAAAGAGTTGGACATGATTGAGGGACCACCACTTTCACTTAACTATATGCCAGGAACTCTGTTGGATGCTGACAACTAGAACAAGTTTCAAACTTCATGACGAAGCCACATGGGATATTAAAGTGACATTCCAGGTGAAAAATGATGGGCCTTGAACCAATGAGTCAGTGTGGAGGAAAATTTTAAGAGAAACTGAGCAAGAGGAGTTTTGAGAGCTCTGTACTGTGTGTAGCCACTCAGTCATGTCTGACTCTTTGCGACCCCATGGACTGCAGCCCGCCACGCTCCTCTGTCCATGGGGATTCTCCAGGCAAGGATACTGGGGTGGGTTACCATGCCATCCTCCAGGGGTTCTTCCCAAACCAGGGATCTTACCCAGGTCTCCTGCACTGCAGGCGATTCTTCACCATCTGAGCCACCAAGGAATAAGTGACTGTGATAAATGTCTATTTAGAAAGAAAATAAGAACATAGGTTAAAACTGCTATCCTGGAAAATCTGGACTGCTTTGTCCCTTCAATAAAGACACTTCAGTTCAGTTCAGTTGCTCAGTCATGTCTGACTCTTTGGGCCCCATGGGCTGCAGCACGCCAGGCTTCCCTGTCCATCACCAACTACTGGAGCCTACTCAAACTCATGTCCATCGCATCAGTGATGCCATCCAACCATCTCATCCTCTGTTGTCCCCTTCTCCTCCCACCTTCTATCCTTCCCAGCATCAGAGTCTTTTCAAATTAAGTCAGTTCTTCGCATCAGGCAGCCAAAGTATTGGAGCTTCAGCTTCAGCATCAGTCCCTCCAATGATTA